AACGTTAAACCATATACCATCGGAAATTCAATGTTTTCGTTCTGCCTCAAGTTTACATCTAGAAGATGGTATAAAATGTTTGAATCAATTAAAAAATGTTAAGCAGTTCTATGATACATTAATATCACTCGAAGAAATTATTTCGGATGAGAAATCTGATAATTATTACTATTCAAAATTAATTCCATCAGCTCATTTAACTGTAGATCAACTATGGGAACTGAATGATAAACTCACACTTATGATCAATGAATCAAAGAATAAAATATTAAATTTTTGTGAAATACAAACAATAAAATGCGTATTTTTACAAATAATTATTGAATTGAGAATAAAACTACGTATGATGGTGACAATTTACCATCTTAAACAGTTGACATGTAAAAAGACAATATTTTCTGTGCAATCGAAGATAACAACATCGATGTTAATCCATGATTATAAATACAATAAAAAGTCATCGTCTAACTTTTACAATGATATAATCAATTTTATAAATTTTAATTTTGATACAAAAAAGGATCGAAAACTAATTGAAAAACGATTTCAATTGTCAATAAATCCTTTAAATTATTATACAACACTAATAGATTATCAGTCTGTTTTTAAACCTTATCAATTATCCAATTTCAAAGCAAATCGTTTATTATCAACGCTAATGATAAAAGAATATTTACCAAAATCATTCAAAAGTAATGATATTTATTTTAAAATATATCGAAAATTATTTACATCATTTGATAAATTTATTATGAAATTAAAAGCATTTATTGATCGTATTTTAGATTTAATTTTAAATGAATTACGTGATAAACGATGTATTCATCTACGAGCAACCCTATGTGGAAGTTCAAGTGAAAAAACAAATATTTTATATGTTGATAAGGATGAATCTAATATGATTACTATCGATTATGATTATCAACTAACATTAATGAATTTTAATAATGAAGAATCATTTATAAAAGTAATTGATAATTTAATGAGGCAATGTTCATGGAATGGTCAAGTTAGTTTTCGTACAATATTTCAGTTACTTACAATTATTGATACAATTATACAAGAAACAATGGATAAACAAAAAATATATATTTATAATTTATTACAAACATCAGAATTATATATTGAAACAATTGATACGGATGATTCATGTTTTAAGATAATTTTAAGACAAATCAGTAAAACAAATAGTGAAGATTTATGTCAAAAAGTATATTCATTCACAATTAATATTGATTTCAAAATAAGTTTACCGTTATATAATAATATGCAATTAAATGAACTAAGAAATTTATTTCAACAGACAAACTATGAACAATGTTTGCTCTATCGTGCATTTATTAATTATGGTCTATTTTCATTTAATAGTGATATATTAAATAGCATTTTTACATTCAAAACATTGACATGTTTACATCAATCCATTTCTAATACGTCCGTACCGATTATAGAATTAGTTCAAAAGAAACTTGTTAATTCATTTGTTGAAGATCAAGAACTTGAAACTACATTAAGTAATTATATTTTTTTTCGTGATTGTAATACACGAATCAAATATAAAATAAAAATTTCCTATGCAATAAAAATCGATCAAATAATGAATGAAATGTCAATTTACTATAAATGTGCTTATAGATTATTTAAATATTTTTATTTTGTTCTATTTCAACATGAACATTACAGTCATAATTCATCAATGATTGATGATTTAACACAATTAGAATATCTTGATTTAGAAGAGAATATTACAGAGTATAATCATGATGATATTGATGTTACAGTATATAAAATAAAAAATATTGTTATTGAATTATATTTAAAATATCCAAATAATCAAAATATACACCATATACTTCGAACAATTTTAAAGCGATTATATGAAGTAAAGTGTAAATCGTTTCATCTATGGTCAAGTATCAATAAATATGATTTAATTTATATTAATCACAATAAACTTATTAATTTGTATTGTCAATCAGAAAGAAATAATACTCCATTCAAATGGAGCAATATAACAAAAATTAAACTTCTAACAAAAATAATACAAGAACAGGTAAACAAATATGATTCAAAAGACAAGTACTCGAATGGTTACTCAATATTTAGTTGATTTAGGATAAATGATTTATTTTTATTTGATGAAACATATTTACAAAAAGTTCATATGATTTCAGCAAAACTCTTAAAAAGTCTATTGAATTCGATACAACAGATTAAAAATTTAACGGCTCTTCCCCTCCTCAGAAATGGTGATTTTCGGTCAAAACATCGGTTTTGAGATACACATATGGAAACATGGCCTGAAGTGTCTACTTTCAGCATCTGTATCCCTTTTTGGTTACAAAAGCGGTTTTTCGCGGATTTTAGCAAGTTTTCTAGGAGCCTCGAAAAACCGGGTCTTAAAATAATAGGTGCTTCCTGGACACTTACGCGATTAAAATCTTTCTGAAAACACAGCTTTGTAGTGCAAACGTTTCTGATCAAAATAAGACCTCGCATAACTCTGTATGACCTTGTATCAAAAAGTTACAGACATTTTCCTAGAAGTCCTAAAATCAAGTATTTCATACAGCGTTTTCTCTAGATCGAAGTTATACCTGAAGTGTGTCCCAAAACCTTTTATAGCGGTTTGTCGTAGAGAGTTCATTCTTTTTTTCTTTAAAAGAGGAAAAGACCTAGACTGACAGGCGCCGATTTTTGCTTACGTCACCTTAACGACACTTCAGAAACTAACGAGGAAAGGTCCCCAAGTGCACAATCGCTTTTTGCTTGAAATCTAGTGCACAACAGGTATTATGATTTAACGTC